AGCGAGGGGTGGCCTGACCCCTCGGGGCCAGCAGCTGGTCGCACCTGCTGGTGTTGTACCCAGAGGCCACCAGGTCCGCCCTCCGCAGCTTGGAGTTCGCCGCCGACCGCCTCCAGAGCACCGGCGCCTCGACCTTCTCTGCGCTGGAGCCTAGCGACTCCAGCTCTACGCACTCCTGCAATATCAGTCGACATCGAATCCGAAAACCAGAAACCCGCTCGAATCGGAATGTGCGTCGGACCAGGTCGCATCGGTCGGCACGGCGTCGAAACCGAATCGGACCAGCCGCACAGAGATGCACAGCAGCGTCATGCAAGCAGTGGGCCGCATCGAACCGTCGGAGTGTCTCAGCATGAAGACAATAGTTCCACAGGGATAGGGGCCCTGGGCCCCTGGACCCCCAGGACAAATCAAAACAGGGCCAGGATCGGGATAAATCGCTCCAGAGCGTTCCGGAGCGCTCTCAGAGCGTTCCGGAACGCTCTGGAGCGGCCGCGGCGCCCAATACATCCTCCAAACCCGCCGATTCTCAGAGATTTCGAGTTGTGCCGATCCGATTTTGTCCCCATCTTGGCGTCGTTTTACAAATTCTGCAAGAGCCAGAGCAATGTTTTGGCAGGCGCCGGGCCCGTGGGGTGGCCACAGGGGTCCGAAAACGAGGAAAGACCGAACAACCTCAAGACTCGTTTCCCACAGGACCTGTTCCCAGACCCCCTCGAGTCATGAAAAAATCACGACGGGAGGTTTTTCCATATTTCTGGCTTTTGGGGGCCCCTACCGGGCCTCGGGACCGTCAAAAAACGATTCAGGATGAAAAACCGGTCCTGGGGAATGGGTCCAAACCTCTGGGGGTCGACGTCATGAAAAAATCATGACGTCGGGGGTCTGGGTTTCGGGTGTGGCCAGGGGCGTCCCTGGCACAAGCGGTCCCTCGGACTCCCAAGGAGGCCCCCACGGCCTCCAGAGCACCCCCCACGAGGCCCTCAGGACCCCCATGGGCTCCAGAAGGGAGTGCAAAGTCGGGTGCCTTTCGCAGACTTCGACTGCTCGCTCCATCGTAATACAGCAACCGAGCAGGACCGGGGCAGGCCATAACCGATGTCGCACCGTTGTCGATCGGACCGGGCCCCGCTCCTGTGGAGGCGGCCACAGGTTCCGAACTGGGTGGGCCCGGAGGAAGTCGGTCAGGAAACAAGGAATGAGAGCAAGTCCGATTCAACTCAGGCCCCAGGCCCCTCTGGGGGTCTTTCAGGGCCCGAAAGCGGCCCAAAACGGAGACCGAAGACAAAACACCTTGTCGAACCGAGCACCTCGATCCCTTGCCCCGTTCCTGGTGGCCCGAACCAGTGCTGGGCCACCTCAGGCCCAGGACCCAAACATCCGGCGGCTCCAATTTTTCTGATGCGTGGATCCTGGAAGTCTGGACCGCTTCACTATAGCAAGGCCGTGCAAACGGGGTGTGCGGGGTTGTAGATGAGGGGCCTATACGGGCGAGTGAAAGGTGGCAGGGCATTTACCTCGCAGTAGTGCGTGACCAATCAGGACAACAAAAACATCTACACATTATTATAACTCGGGTCGGGGGGGTTCACCTCGCACTTGTGCGCGGCAAATCCGCCGACCCTGTCGGCGCGTGTGAGGGGCTTGTCCGTTCAAGTCGTCATCTCCGTCATTCGTTGGTCGTCGCCTCTGTCGCCCCCTTTCCCTGCCTCCCCCCTTTCCCTGGGCTCGTCGAAGCTCCCTCCTTTCCCAGGGACCTCCTCAAGCGAAGTTGAGCAACGTCGTAATTGAGTCGAAGGGAAGCCCCTTCCCTTCGGTCCCTCCCCCGCGGGCGGGGGTCCCTGGGGGGGAGGGGGGGTCAGATACCCCGGGAGTCCCGGAGCCCAAGAAAGCCCCAAGACGGGCCAGGAGTGCCCCAGGAGGCCCCAAAGACAGTCCAAGAGAACCCCGAATCGCCGAGCGAACTGTCCAAGACGCCTTGACGGCCCCCAGACGGCCCAAGAGGCCTGCAAAGCGCCCCAAGAGGCCTCCAGGAACTTTCCCACGAGAGCCCCAAGAGGCAAAATCCATGGATTTCCTTTACGTGTTTGAAAGGTTTTGGCGTTCTTGCCTCTTCCGCTTCCCGACGCGCTAAGACGGCCCACGAGGCCCCCAAGATCGCCCCGAGACGGCCCAAGAGGCCCCCAAGAGGGTCCCCTCACGGCCGAAGAGGGCCCCAAGACGGCCCACGACGCCTCCAAGACGGCCAAGGAGGCCCGCAAGACGGCTGCAGGAGAGTGCCCAGACGGGGACCCGAACGGACATTTCGAGCTCTCAGCCCGAAGAGGCCCCCAAGAGGCCGCGAAGAAGCCCCAAGAGGCCCCAAGAGGCTCCCAAGGGGCCCCCAAACGGCCCCAGGAGAGCCCCAAATTGCCCAGGAGGCCTCACGGCGCAAGAGGAGCCCTGGACGGCCCTAGACGGCCTCAAGAGAGCCCCAGGCTGTCCCAAGAAAGCCTCTGGACTCCTCCTCCTCCTCCTCCTCTTTCTCCTCCTCCTCCTCCTCCTCCTCCTCCTCCTCCTCCTCCCACCCCCCCTCTGCTCCCCCTCATCCTGCTCTCCTCTGCCTCCTTCTCCTCCTCTTGCTTCTCATCCACATTCTTCTCCCCCCTCCTCCTCCTCCTCCCTCATCCACCTCCTCCACCCTTCCTCCACCTCCCACTCATCCTCTTCCCCCTGCCCCCCCCCCTCCACTCGTTTTCATATTCGTCGTTCTCAAGGTCGGCGGCAACGGCCGTAAGGCCTTCGCGATCAACTTTTTGAGAACACTATTGCGAACGCACCCTTACCTACCGGCCCGTTTACTAACGACCCGTTTGCGGGGCCTTGGCTCTAGGGCCGACATAATGTCCTGAATCTATGTTTGACGGTACTGAGGCCCGGCGAGGGCCCCCCGGGTCCCCCAGAGGGCAAAAACAGCCGAAAACCCTCCGCTCCAATTCTTTCGGAGCGTCGGATCTCTGGGAACCAATGTCACGTTGCATCTTCGGCGGACCTTGCCTGTCCCGTCGCGGCGCTGTCCGCGTCGAATCCACGTCGAATCCATTTCGAATCCATGCCGGATCCGCAACGAGCCCGCGTCGAGTCCGCGCCAAGTCCACGCCAGATCCATGCCAAATCCACGCCGACCCCGCGTCGGATGCCGGAAAAGACAGCCATTCACAGGACAAGGGAGGAGGAGGAGGAGGAGGAGGAGGAGGAGGAGGAGGAGGAGGAGGAAGAGGAGGAGGAGGAGGAGGAGAAGGAGGAGGAGGAGGAGAAGGGGGGAGAGGAGGAGGAGGAGGAGGAGGAGGAGGAGAGAGGGAGGAGGAGGAGGAGGAGGAGGAGGGAGGAGGAGGAGGAGGAGGAGGAGGAGGAGGAGGAGGAGGAGGAGGAGGAGGAGGAGGAGGGAGGAGGAGGGAGGAGGAGGAGGAGCCCCCCGAAGATGCAATGTCGCCAGTGCTGGGCCACCTGAGGCCCCCAGCTGCGGGCCGCCGCTCCTGGGGCCGCGCGCCCGCGGAGGACAGCGCGGCGCCCTCCTGCCGGACCGCGTCGCGCCGGCAGTAGCCCCTCGCGCAGAAGCTGAGCTCGTCCTTCTCCTCCTGGGCATCGCTGAATGGAGGGGCGATCCGTAGGGTTAAGTCGGGCGTGTCCCCCTGCAGGGGGATTGTGGACGGAAAATAAAACAATACTCAAACAATGCCCCCCAAATGCTCAAAAATAGTCAACAAAATCGTCCCCAGACTATTTTTTCACTATTTTTGAAGATTCCCCTTTATTTTTTGACTATTTTCTGGCGATTGTTTGAAGATTCCCCTTGTAGAGGGACACGCCGGACGCAACAGCAGGGGGGGGAAGAGAGGTGCCCTCCTCGGGCCCCGCAGGCCCCCCTCTGGGCCATACAAGGGGCCCCTGCAGGGGCCCTCTATAGAGGGCCCCTTTTCTGCAGCCCTTGCTGCCCCCCCCCCCATTGAGGAGGAGGAGGAGGAGGAGGAGGAGGAGGAGGGAGGAGGAGGAGGAGGAGAAGGAGGAGGAGGAAGCCCTTGCTGCCCCCCCTCCATTACTAGGGGAACGAAGAATGACGTAGACATAAAAACTCGGAGGTGCGCGTGGATTTCCCGGATCCGCGCTGGACCCCCCTGGCGGCGCCTCCGGCGCCGCCCCTGGCGCGCCCCGCGCGCCAGGGAAGGGGGTCCAGCGCGGATCCGGGAAATCCGCGCGGACCTCCGAGTCTTTATGTCTATGTCATTCTTCGTTCCCCTAATTACGCGACGCCTTTGCAGGAGGAGGAGGAGGAGGAGGTGGAGGAGGAGGGGGAGGAGGAGGAGGAGGAGGAGGAGGACCCCCCCTCCATTACGCGACGCCCAGTCCTCCGCGCTCTCCTCGGGGCCCGGCTGCTCCAGAGCCCGAAGCCCTGCGCAGGGGGGTGGGCGCCGTATTCTGGGGTGCAGTGGCCAACGGGGGGGCGAGTCCCGGGAGCCGCAGGGAAGCCCTGAGATGTACGTTGCCCCCATCGCACGTAAGGACCACATCCCAAAGATAATTTCGAGCACCCAGAAAAGTGTCGAAAGAGTGTCGAAAGAGTGTCGAAACAGTGTCGGACGAGTGTCTCCCAGGGCCCGACGCGTGAACACCCTCGAGTTTCGGTATTTTTTCTCGTGTTCGAAATTCTTTCTAGTGATCAAGGCTAAAGTAGGTTGGAACATCATAACCTGAGATCCTGGCGCCCCATTCTTGTTCGCTGCAGGCGCTGCTTCGGGCCCTGGGGCCCCCTCACGGACCGATCCAGCTTGAAACAGGGCGCAGAACGATGGGGGTCAGGGTTCGACACCAGCTTGGAGCGTCATTGCCAAATTCCCACGCCGGGTGTTCGGAAACTTTTCAGGCTGAGCATTCGACACGCATGCACACACTCGTGTACCAGTACACGCGAGCACGTGAGGGGTGTGTTGGAGAGTTGCTGTTGCCTGATGCATTTTTCCGTGTGCCTTGCATCCATCACGCCGTTCCCGCAAGCGGGACAAGACGTCCTGGGGCGCTCGATCGGACTTTCGCTCTCGCAGTTTGTCCAGCACGTCGGATATCGGGGAAGGCGCGCCCTCGAGTAAAAGAAAAAAGGCTCCTGGACTGCCCGCCGCGGCCCCTAGGGGTGCCGGAAAGGTGCGCCCCTGTCCTCCCGCCCCCCCCCCTCAATATTCTTGGGAGGCTCAGAGTACAGGGGCCCATTGGGACACAAGCAGATCTGCACAGACTCCAGGATTCCCCGTGTGCTCGATGCTTCCTGGATGTCCCTCTTCCCTTCCGTCTCTCGCACCTTCCAATATTTCTACTGGGTCTGTGTCGTCTTTTCCCTCTTGGTATGTTGTCGGGAGGCTCAGAGGCTGGCACCAACGCCAATGTGGGCGGCTGCTTCCACCGAGGGGAGATGATCCCGGTGTCGGGGATGGTGGTAATGCTCGGGCGCCTGGAGCGGCGGGAATGTCACCACGAACACCAAATCTACCCCCCGTGCAAACAGCAACTGGCGTTTTTCTACACACCTTCCCCAAACCCCCCAATTTCAACGTTCAGTGCGGTGCCAATCTTTGTTTTCGATCTTCGCCGGTCGCGCGATCAACATCGACATGGGGGGCCGGGGGGCTCACCAAACACCAGTTGCTTTTCGCACGGGGTTGGATCGTTCAGGAAGGAAAGAACACACAGACACAATGAATCGTCGACTCCCAAGAAAAAAAGGGGAAATATGGGAAGTGGGGGGGAAGACAACACCCCAGAAAGTATGGGAAAATATGGGGAATCCTTTTCTTTGTGTGTATTTATTTGTGTGTCCCATGGCCCCTTCAATCGTCTCCCCCCGGGTCTCCAAGGTTCTCGAGAGGCTGCGCCTCCGTCCTCAACCCTCCGTTGACCGACTGCTGCCAGAGGCGTCCCCGGCCAGGGGTGCCTCCAGGACTCCACGGGGAGGCCCGGGCGGCCTCTCCGCAGACGTGACCGCCGGGGCTGCCAAGGGGGTTGGGGGGCTCAAGAGCGGATGCCAAGGTGGGTTGTATCTGGCCGATCCTCCTCCTCCTCCTCCTCCTCCTCCTCCTCCTCCAGATGCTGAGGTGGGCTGTATCTGGCCGAACCCAGCTCATGAGTGGGTTGCAGGTGCCGCAGCTGGTTCCAGGGGGTTGACGATCTGGGCTGAGAGGGCGGAGCCCACTCGGCGGAGTTGTCTGACCCCCCCCTCGACCACTCAAGGCACACGCGGCCCACTGCTGAAGCTCGGGCTCTGGCATGTGCAGCCAACCATAGCATTCGCTTCCAAGCCCTCTATTCCCTCAGCGACCCCAGCGGTCATCCCAGCAGAGCACCCCTCACGAGGCCCATGGGGGCCCCAGTGGGGAACGGCTTGCAGAGCTTCGGACACCCTGGGCTGCGAACACCCTGGCAAACACCCGACCGTTGCCTTCCGCCCGACCTGCGCTGCCCGCGAGGGTCGCGGCGCGCCCCGGCACGAGGGCGCAGCGGCCTTTGACCGGGGAGGGCGCCCTGGTGGCGCCGCTCTTCAGGTAGCAGCCCGTCTTGTAGAACACCGCCACGGTGCAGTTGGGCTCCCGCCTGCGGAGGGCGGCGAGATCTGCGCCCGAAGCCCCTTTGGCGACGGGAACAGGTCGCGAAGGTGTGTTCGGCCTCTGGGGCCCCTCGCCGGGCCCTACATCCCTCGTCGAAATTGAACGCAAGTTTTAGCCGCGACCTGGCGGCGCCCCCCGACCCCCAATTCAATGTTCACGCCGACGCCGGCGACTTCGAGATTTTCTTCGGACCCCGCCGGCCGCGATGCGCCTGTCGATGAACATTGAAATTTGGGGGCGACGGGGGTGGGAAAAACTGGCGTTCAATTTCGACGAGGGTTGTAGGACCGTCAAAAACCGACTCGGGATCAGAAACTGGTCCCAAGGAATGGGTCGAGACCTCTGGGAATCCGCGTTGGCAAACACCAGGTTGGGGTCCGAGCCGGCGGGTTTCCGAGATCCTGGGCCTAAAACGGTTGGCGTCTCTTGATGGGGTATCGTCTACTTCTCGCGGGTTTCCGCCAGCCTTCCGCCGGCGGAAGCGCCCCTGTTTTATCGGGCCGCTTCCGCCGCCCTTCCACCGCCTTCCGCCGAGGAAGATACGCCAACTCCCTCGATCCCTCGAGGGTGAGGCCTGCTCTGGAACGCCCCATGTAAGGCGACGAGATCTGCACCTATTTGGGTGGCCCAAAAGGGGGTCCAGCTGCAAGAGGGTGGTGCAATACATTTGGGGCAATTGTATTGCAAGCGGAGAATTGTATTGCATTGTGTTGCATTGTATTGCAACTGATGCATTGCACGTGAAAATCCAACAATGCATTTGCGCCGCGGAACGTATTGCACGCCCCAAATGTACTGCAACCCCACAAATCGATTGCACCAAATCTATTGCACCACCCCCTTGTCGCTGGACCCCCTTTTGGGTCAACCCGAACCTAGATCTCCAACGAAGTGACTTTTGCTCCATCCCAGCGCGCTCCCTGGATTTCGGCATCTGGGGTCCGCTATCGGGCCCTGGGGCAGTCCAAAATCGGCCGGCGAAGAGATACCCCCGGGGAGGAGGACGGGAGCTCTGGGTCCGCGATTGAACAAATGAATAGATCTAGAGGTAAAACAAATCCACCCCTAGAATAATAACCACCCCGACGCGCGAAGTCGTTTCGTGAGCGCGCCGAGAGAAGGCATCGAACAGGGCAGGGCTGTTCCGTAAACATCCAGGGCCGGCCAGCAAACGCCAACTGTCCGGCCCAGGTGGTAATTCCTCCCTTGTCGGGGGTGGCCAAGAAGGGGGCGTCCAAGAGGAGGGGGTGCAAATCATGGCCGGCGACATGTGCGCGGCCAAACGGAGGGGACAGGGACGTACTGAAATAAGAAGAGGCGCCATGACATCTGGGGAAATATCTTGGCCCGCGCCAGGATATCCACCCCCCCTAGTCATCACCCCCCTCTTTGCCGACCTTGAAGATCTGCGTACAGCCACCGCCCCTGGGCCAAGAGCCGTGCAGACGCCCCACTGGCTGACCAGGGAGGCACGGGCACCGCTCCAAGGGCCAGGGGGGGGGGCTGAGCCAAGCGCGGTGGGCATGTAACCTGAAGTCGGGCGTGTCCCCCTACAGGGGGATTTTGGACGAAAAATGAAAAATATTCAAAAATGCGCAAACATAGCAAAAAAATGCTCAAACAATAGTCCCCCGACCATTTTTTGACTATTTTTGAATATTCCCCCTGTAGAGGGACAGGCCCGACTTAAATGTAGCCCAGACACCCTCGGACGTAACGTGTTCCCATCCGCGGCCCCAGCAGGGCTCCCGACCCCTTCCCAGGGGGCACTCCAGATCCCTTACTAATCGACTTCTCTCCAAAAGACCAGACCCCCTCCAAATGATGCGACCTATTTTTCCAGACCCCCTTATTCGACGGGGCGCCTTATAATACACGGGACCCCCGAAGCTCCAATCCAAAGAAAACGCCTTGATGAACCGGACCCCCCCAATTACAAAAAGGGCGCCTTACAAAACCAGACTCGGGAGACGATGAATAAGGGATTTGGAATAAGTTTGAGTCCCAGCCCCGTTTTGTGATAGTCCCAGGGCCCGATACAGGACGGGAGAGGTGTCGTTCTAGGAATGCCGAAATGTCTGGCGGCCCTCGTTTCTGCGGCCCGCCCGTGTGGAACATTAGGAAATACTGAAGCTCTAGGAAGTCTGGGAACAGATCATGATCATCACCTGTTGCTCCTCTGACGACGAGGCCATGGAGGCCAACATCGAGCAACAATGCGGCGATTGGAACAGCAACATCTCGTCGGAGATCTGGGAATTTATCTCGCCGCCCGAGCTCCTGCAGAGGGCGCAGCACTCGCCCCGGGTGAGCCCGAGCTCCCACCAGAACTCGTGGCCTTCGTAGTCCACGTCCTCCTTTTGGAGGAAAAGAAAGCGGTGATCACGACCAACACCTGCACGCGGAAACGCTGGTGACAGTCTCAGTTGCCGTCCATCCTGGCCACCGTCAACATCCGTGGGCTATCATCGCGAGATCGGTGTCGGCAAAATCCCGCGACATTTTAGTCACAATCATCCCGGACCACAGGTCACTCGGGCAGAGGGTCTCTAGGTGTTCGGGTCACACCTACCTCGGGTCTCTGGCAGCCGTTCGGGGCGATCCAGGCCCCCCCAGAACGCTCTCGGCGAGGCGCAGCTGCAGGAACGCGTCCCGAGCCAGGAGAACCTCCAGGAACCGACGAAAACGGCCGAAAGCCCTTCAAGAACACCTCGTGGTCATCGTGTTCTGTCCCTCGATCCTGGGGCTCGCAGCGCTGGCCTCCTGCCGGGCGGCCTCTCGCCAGCAGCCACGCGGCCGCCGCGAGCCGCAGCGCCGGGGCCATTTTGGCCGACTCCCTGATGTCGCGCCCCGGTGGAGGCGCAACCCGCCCCGCGGTGCGGAGGCGGGCCCTGGAGAGGGCTCGGAGGCCGCGTAATCGGCTCGAGCCAAAACGAAAACGTGCAGCCGAAACATGACCCCAGGATCAAGCGGGCCTGTCCCCCTACAGGGGGATTTTCGACGGAAAATAAAAAATACCCCCAAAATAATCCAAAAATAGTCTGGGAACTATTTTTTAATTTGTTTTACCTTTCTGGGGCAGTTGTGGGGTATCTTTTATTTCTCGTCGAAAATCCCCCTGTAGGGGGACGCGCCCGACTTAACCCCAGGAGCGCTGATCAAAGCCGCGGGCCCCTGCGACCACGGCCCGGGGCCACATGGGGACACCACGGGCGGGCAGCACGACAAAGTGGACAGCCAAGTAATGCGGGATGACGATTAATAAAAACAAATGGGAGAGAACGATTAAACAAATAGTCTTCTGCTATTTCTGCACAGTTTTCTGACTGGAGGAGCACGATAAAAAATAGTTTTCCAGCCCGCGGCCGGTTTGTTCTAATCGTCATCCCAGGCGCCGCCGCGTGAACACGACCCCCGGTCATTTATTAATCGTCATCCTCCATTCGTCCTTGGTTCAGCCGCTTGACTAGACGGAGGACGGGGGGAGAGGAGGCGGGATGTTCTCATGGCGGAGCTCGCGGGCAAGAGGCGGGCGCCGCGCGCAGAAAGGGAGCGCGCCTTCCAAGACACGCACGCGCAGGTTCAGAGCGCTCATGCCAATTCGTTCGCTCTCTCTCTCTCTCTCTCTCGCGCGCACGCGATGTGCGCCGCGTCCCGTTCCTGCTACGCGCTTTGACGCGTCAACGACACAGCGTCGATGCTGAAAAGGAGCACGCTGGATTTATGGCCCCTCGACGGGTAGGACGGACCGACAGCGACGGGGATGGGAGCACGCAATAGCTAAACATGAATACGGACCGGGAAAACCAAAAGGTACCGATATCGCTACTCCCCCGACCTCTCCTGGGGTGCGGTCTGACCAGGGTTTCGAAGCGAATCCAGCGATGGCGACGAAGGCCTCCCAGGAGGCCCAAGAAGGTGAAAAATAGGGAAGCCCAGCGGTATGGGTACCTTCTCCCTCTCTGAAGGACAGGAGTGGGAGCAACACGCTCATAACATAGCACGCTCATGACATGAGAATCAAGGCTGGCACAATCGGAAACCGAGACAGACGCGCGCTCCCGCACCCTGGACGGACGGCGCTCTCGCGTGCAGGGCCCCGGCTTTCGACGACTCTCGCGAAGGAGAAGCATGAGCCGAGTACGGGAGGGGACGGAACAAACAGAAGGTCACTGCGCGGCGTTTGCGCGAGAGCACCACTCAGCCCTTCTCGAAGCGTTGCTTTATGGGAGGCGATCAAGGGGGGGGAGGGAGAAACGCGGACCTTTCGTACCCCTTTTGGGCCCCAGGGGGCTCATTCAAGGCACAACAGGTGCACCCCCCGTTTACCGCCCCCTGTTTCGCAACGCCGGACCTTTGCGCACAACTAAGTTCCCGGTTGCATTGGCGAAAGCAACAAAGTGTGTGTCCAGTCCGGCAGCCACTGCCGGGTGCTGCGAGCTCCCAGCAGCATTCGTCGACAGCGGTCAAAAACAAAACCGCCGAAATGGTCCTTGAAAGGGCCGCCAGGAGGGCCGCCGACAGGGCCGCCGAAACCTGGTTTAGGTGAGGCAGTTCTGGGCATCCAGCACGGCGGCCTCAGGGAGACGGGGCTTCTCAAAACGGGAAAGAGGGAGCCCAACTCAAAGCCGTGCGCCCCGCACCCTCGACTGAGGCCATGCGGGCGCTCTGCGGAGAGCCGCCGCGCCACCCCGACTCCCGGACCCCTCAGAGCCGCGACCGCCGGGGGCGGGCCACAACAGATCTAGAGCTGCGACCGCCGACGATCCTCCCTGTGGCGCTGCATGATGGGCGGCAGTTCGCACGGGGGGGGGGGGGGGGGCGAAGCAGGGCGCACCTCTCGTGCCCCTTCCGCGCCCCTTCCCTGCAGCCATATCCCGACCCTCCCCCACTTATATCGCACCCCCCATTGCGACACGCCCTCGCCCCGCAGACATCCTCCGACATGCTGCTTGTCAATCCGCGGCCCAAGAGCGCCCCGACCCCTTCCCCAGGGGTAGTGTTGCGCCCCGGATCCATGTTTGAGTGTTCTGGGGCCCAAAAAGGGACCCCAGAGGCCGCCATGGCGAGAAGACGCAGCGAATTTATCTGGCGGCGTGATAGTCGGCCCCTAGGCCTCAGAAGCAGGACTGTCCATGTAGGACGTAAACTGGTAACTCTTTTCCGCTGCATTGTTTTATGAGCCACGCCTACACCGAAGAGCGGGGGGCGGGCTGGGAAGAGGCATGCCGCTCCTCGACAAAAAACCTTACCCCCGTTCATGGCCGCCGCGATCGCCGCGGCGGCCTCCAAAACTGACCCAAATGTCTGAGTCGGGGCTGGGTACCACGCAACGAATGTCGTCGGAGATCTTGGGGAAACCAGAGGGTACCGACACCGCTACTCCCCGGACCTCTCCCGGGGTGTGTTCTGACCAGAACTTCGAGGCGAATGCAGCGGTGGCGACGAGGGCCTCCCAGGAGGCTCAAAAAGGGGAAAACGGGCGAGGGGTAGAGGTATGGTTACCTTTTCCTCTTCGGAGATCTGAGCCCCGCTTGAGCAGGGACCGACCGTGCCAGCATTCCTATAGTCCCACCACGACATGTTTTTAGAACCCCAGAATGTTCTAAGAACAAAAACACTGTTCTAAGAACATAGGCCCGATGTGATAAAACAAGACAGGCCCTGCCAGAAATGTTCTCAGAACATTTCGTGGAAACCACAAAAGGTTCTTAGAACATTGTGTGGTAGGGCTGTAGGCGAGCCAGGACGCTTCGCCACTGTTTGACTCGCTGTTGAAAGGGCTGGCCCGCCGAACAGCGTCCCGTCCGCAAGCCGCTTCATCTTCTCGGGCCCGAGCAGCTCCCGGAGCCCGTCGGCCTCGCCCTTCATCTTGAGCTGCAGCTTCTGGTGGGCCTCGCCCCCCCCCCGCCCGACGCCGCGCTGCGCTCCGGGCAATCGGCCGGGAGGGGTGGATGTAGCCAAGTGAGCGACGAAAAGAAATTGATGGGCCTGTTTTCCACCACCACCACCATAAGTTGGAGGGGGAGGGGGTCCTCCTCCTCCCCGTCCTCCTCCTCCTCCTCCTCTTCGTCCTCCTCCTCCTCCTTCTCGTCCTCCACTTCCTCCCACCTCCAACTGATGGTGGTGGTGGTGGAAAACAGGCTCATCAGAAATGGGTCATACGCAGGATGACACAGCGATCCTGCGCGGCGGCTTGGCAGCGAGGGCGCCTGCGCGGCACGCTTGGGAGCGAGGACGCTTACGCGCGACCTGACGCGGAAAAAGCTTACGCGCGAACGTCGGCGAAGACGGCCCCGTATCATTTGCGTCGCTCACCTGGTGCAGCTCTTCACCCGGCATCCGTTTTTCACGGCCCCGCGGCCCGCGGGGCCCGAAAGCGCCCCCTCCGAGGCCGAAGAAGACGAGCACCCGTCCCGAACCCACAGCCTCGTACCTGCCCGCCACTCCCTGCTGGCCCGGACCAGTGCTGGGCCACCCCAGACCCCCAGACGGCTCCACCCCTCGCGCTCCTCAGCCCAAACATGCTCGCGCCGCACGTCCTCACGCGGACCACGCTGTCCATGTGCAGCTCCCTGCTGCGTGGCTCCCTCTCCAGCGCCCGCTGGCACCCCTCGCCACTCGCGCCTGCCCTCCGTCCACCGATGGCGTGCTGTGCCCGTCATCAGCCAGTCAGTCATGTCATACGCCGGCACGAGAACGCAAAACAGAAGCATACCGCGCACACGCTGGAGCCTCCGCATAAGGCTGCAGCGGCGGCGGGGACAGAAGCAAAGAATAGCGCTGTTTACAAAACAGCTCTGGAATGAGCGGGAGAGGGGGATGAAGCGGAGGCCTCTTTTCCCTCGGGCACGGCCAAGAGACATGCTCGCGTCGCAAACACAATCAGGACGGGCAATGTTTGACAGGTTCGACCTCGGGGGGCCCTCGCCGAGCCTGGGGATCCTCAACAAACATACTCCAGATGTCGTAATAAAAGGGAGGGGGTCTCAACCCTCCCAGACAAGCCATTTCAGACCCCCCCCCCGTGGGAGAACCCTCCAAAACATCGCCCCAAGACCCCCCCAGGCCCTCCAAGATAGCCTGGAAGAGACCCCCCCCGAAATGAGACCCCCCTCCCTTTATTACGAAATCTGGAGTAGTCGGAACGAAAAAGTAGCCCTGGGGAGAGAACCGGGATTTTCGGGGACAGCGCATTGAAAACTCAAGACATTGAGTGTCTGGGCTCTTTCCTAGGTCATATGGCCAAGAACGCTCAGACTCGAAGCTCACACACGCGATGCCCTGCGAGCTGACAGCGTGTCGCTCCGCTCCGCGGGTCGGGAGGCTGGAAGGGCTCGAGCCGCTGACGCCTTGGAAGTGGGACGTGGTTGGCGTGCCGCGCTGATGCGTGGTGCGCCAGAACAGGCGGCGCGACACGCTGAGCGCCGGTTCATGACCGTCTACGCTGAGCAGCCGAGGAAGACGAGAAGCAGGAGGGGGAGCCGACGAGAAAGGATCAAACAACCTCCACCCTGGTCTCCTGCTGCTGCCGACGCCGCCCCGGCCAGTGCCGCTCCCTTCTGGCGCAGCCCTGCGCCCTCACAGCCCGGCACGCCGGGAAAGCCATACGCAGAGCTGAGCATGCGAAGAGCACGCGCCGACACGGCGGCAACCCCAAGCTTCTATTTCACTCCCCAGACCCCCGACGTCATGAATTTTTCATGACGTCGACCCCCAGCGGTCTGGACCGATTCCCTGGGACCGGTTTTTCGTCCTGAGTCGTCTTTTGACGGTCCCGAGGGCCGGTAAGGGCCCCCAGAGTCCAAAAGTCATGAAAAACCTCCCGTCGTGATTTTTTCATGACTCGAGGGGGTCTGGGTCTGGGCATCGCTCCTCGACTTCGGCCCAGGGCCCAGGGGCAGCGATCGGGCCCCAGAGCTCCGAAGCGGATCCGGGGCGGAAGGCTGCGGTCGGGACCTCTGGGGCCGGGGCTCGGAGAAGAGCACTTCGGCGTGTATCAAGGCCAGTGTCCCGGGAGGCCGAGAGGCCCACAGGATCGAGCTCCCAAGAGGCCCAACCGTGCCATGACAGCTCGAAAACATCTGCTCTGTCACTTGGGCACATATTCTCAACGGCCCCAGCACGGCCCGAAATATCCGACATGCCTCCAAGACGCCCCCACGACGGCCCAGGACCGCCCCTGAGATGGCCCCGAGACCCAGACCCCCGACGTCATGATTTTTTCATGACGTCGACCCCCAGAGGTTTGGACCCATTCCCCAGGACCGGTTTTTCATCCTGAATCGTTTTTTGACGGTCCCGAGGCCCGGTAGGGGCCCCCCAAAGCCGCAAATATGGAAAAACCTCCCGTCGTGATTTTTTCATGACTCGAGAGGGTCTGGGGGGCGCGCCAGGGTGGGCCCACGAGGTCCCCGGGGCCCCACGAGGGGGCCCCCCAAAGCGACGTGGGCGCATCGCAGGTCTCTGTTGGCGCGTCCTGCGTGGGGCGGGCCTGGTGCTTCGGGGCGGAGCCTTGGGAGCCTCCTCCTCCTCCTCCTCCTCCTCCTCCCTCTCCTCCTCCTCCTCCTCCTCCTCCTCCTCCTCCTCCTCCTCCTCCTCCTCCTCCTCCTCCTCCTCCTCCTCCTCCTTCTCCCCCTCCTCCTTCCCCAGGAGGACAGTCCCCGGGCATCCTCTGGCCGTGCGACCTGCGCGGCCGCTCCTCAGCACATGGCCCGACAGCCGCCCGTGCCGGGCATCTGGTCACAGCGGTACGCCGTGCGGTGGGAAGTCCAAGGAGAAGACGCCGCGAACAGAAACGCTCGGAGGGCCGCGTGTGTTTCTTGCATCGGCGCTGAGCCGCCCTCGCCGGACTTCTCTCCCTTGCGGGCGGGGAGCTCCAGGAGCGGCGCCCGAGGCGTCGCCAGGGGGGCCCGGCGCCGAGGCAAAGAGGCCGCGCGGACTTCCGGAAACGTATCTGTACGCGGGTATCCTCTTCGAGAAGCAGGTGGGCATCTACGGTGTCGGTCCTGCGGCTTCTTAACGTCCCGTGCCTTCTGTGGCTCGCCAGGGCCACCTGTGAATTAGAGATTACCGCGGGACGCCCGCCACCAGGTCGGCTCCTTATTTGACACGGCTACTGTGATCCCTCCGGCATCTCCAAACATGTAGGCAATTCGGAATGCAACTTCAACGAATGTTCAGCACGATGGCCGCGAATGCGCACCGTTAAAGTCGTTTGGAAGAGTGCGGCGTGAATTGTCCCCCTGGCAACTTCATGCCAATCTCGGGTTCCTCTGCCTCCGCCTGATCGGTTTGGTGCGCTTTCTGGCCACTTCCATTCTCGTGATAATCCCTTTTATCCCTATTTCTTCTCCTGTGAGGGAACGAGTGGGATCTTACGAAAGTTCCCACTCTGAGCGAAACCAAGCAATGTAAATACAGCTCAAACAATATCAAACTAGGGGCGGCTAAAACACTCATACCAACCTTACGGACTAACACACCGAATGGCTTCCAGTAAGAGCGAACAGTCTGATGCAATCCTACTGGCACGAACATTCGAAGAAGTCCTGAGCCAGCTACATCTCTAGCATAAGCCGGCTGGAGCTACAAGTCTGGTAGGAAGCAGGACTCTGTGTGTAAGAAGGGCCCAGGCGTTTGCAACGGGAGCTCGTCTGTACAACGATGCCTGAGTCGTTTTCCACACTTACTTGATCCGTGCTCTGGTTGTGGGAAGGGGCCGTGTCGTGCTGAGGTGTATGAGGTCACCTCCCCGACGCGTCGCTCAAGCCTTTCGTGGCCCAAGCCGCCGCGGGGGTCTGCAGCTAGCTCCAGCCGCACGTGCTGCCGCCCCGCGAGCGGCTGCTCGCCGAAGGCTGAGCAACCACGTGGCGCCAGGCCCTCGCGATAGGGCTCGCCTTCTCGTTCCTCGGCGACACTGGATTCATCGGGTGGGCCCTGGAGGGCCCGTTCGTGCCCGCGAACGAGACCGACCCGCTCCAGCGCCGCGAGCGCGCGAGCCCCCGTCTCAGCTTCAATGCGTTGGGCTGTCGATGTCAACGCTGCGCCGATGGAGTCGCATGTGCCGGAAGCTCGGGGGTGGCAAAGGCGAAGTCGTCCTGGTGCTGACGCGGCTCTCTCCCAAGAAGAAGGGCGACACCCGCTGGATCTTCGTCTGCACCGACCGCGCACGCTCGCGTCGGTGGACGTCCAGGATCGGTCCGGGATGGCGGCGACGCGGCAGCTTCGGGCCGCGCACGCCCGCTCCCCCGCCCTGTCCGCCGAGGAGGAGGCGACGGCACTGGAGGCGGGCACCGAGAAGCAGCTGAGCGTGGAGCTCGCGGCCGCGCGCTGGCGCTCCCGGGTCTGGGCTCGCGTGGCTCCGCAGTGGGGCCGTCTCCCCGTGGCCGCCGTGCGCGCAGGGCGCGGCGGGTGGGCCGCTCCTCGCCGCCCATGGAGGGCCGCGGTGCACTCTCTCGAGCCCGCAGCTGGGCGGAGCGGGCCGCGGAGGAGGTGGGCGACACCCGCTCGCCGCTCGTGGCGCTGGACGGCTCCCGTGCCTGCCTGCACGGCCTGCACAGCCAGCCCGTAGAATACAGTATAGCAAGGACGCGCGCGATGAGGATGCGAGGGCCTCGGACGCCCATGCCGATGCTTTCCGAAGCGGGGCGCGGCCCGCGAAAGTGGCCAAGGATGGACCGAGGCGGCAGGGATGCAGGGGTACCCCTGGGAAGGTTGCCCATCCTTGCTACAGTCGGGGCGTTGACCTAAGGAACCCTAAATAAGGAACGAGGCCCCTATTTCCCATAAGTTAAACTTCGGTTTCATATCGGAAACCTAAGGAAAAGGCAAGCTGCGACGCAATTAGGGAACACGGAGCCCCTCCCCAA